TGGGTGTGACTTTCACCACTGGAATTATTTTCTTATCCGACGTGATTTGCACTTGAACTTTATTTACATGAATGCATCTGAATATCAGAATATAATGAAGTAGAGAAAAGCTTTTTGCTTTAGAAAGTTGCTACTTTTGTGGGGGTTTTATAGCTGATCATTTTCCTTCTATTGAATTATAAAACCGCTTCTAGGTATTGGAAAGCACTTCTTGAGTTGCTCTTTTTGACTACAGATCTTCTCTGGCTGAACTATAGGTAGGATACAGCCCCTGGCATCTGCAAGGGTATTCCATGGCTGGTATTCCATCTCTGGAACTGTTACTCATGCAAAGCCAGCAAGCATTACAACTTTCCTAACCATTTTCCTCAGGTGTAAATGACTACCTGGAATAAAAGAATGAGGCCGGGAGCCACTTAAAATAATGTGGTTCTGTGTTTGAACTTCTCTAAAATGTGCTGGTATCATTGCATTCCCAATTCATTTCCACACACTTTTTTTTTTTTTTATAACTGTGATTAGTTCCATTGCAATGTTTTTGTATAGTCCAAATATTTATCAGAGTAATCAAAGATTATGATGCCATAAAAACAAAGAGAACTTTAGTGCTTATTGAACAGATGAAACGTCCCATTTCTAGTGGCAAGTTATGGGTTTAATTTTAGCAAAAGCCCTTACGTGGCTCACTTTGCTCCCAGTGTTTATGTTTTATGAGGCTCTTGTTCCTGGGAGGTAAATCCTTCAGTCAAATGAACTTTGTTATTCATGCCAAAGTATTTCTTTTTGTATCTGACATCTGGTGTGAGGATAGATAGCCCTGTGAAAGAGCTGTTCATGGGAAAAGTGCCCTGCATGAATATCTTCCCTCTAGAAAACATCTTGGTATTATCATTTAAATGGTGCAATTATTATCTATACTTAGAATATGTGCCTCCTTCCTAAATCATGAAAGAAGTTCAGATGTGGCAGATTTCTGGAGTGTCTGAGCACAGAAGTGAAGAGCCTGATTAAAACTGTAATACATGCAAAAACCAGCAGTTCCTCCTATTCTGTGGGTACCCTGCTGTGTTCAGTATATTGAGGGATAATGGGATACAGCCTGCAGGGTTGCCCAGGAGCCCTTGGAAAGGTAGATATACTTGGAACAAGAAAAATTTAGGCATCCTTGTCAGCCAGAAATAGAAAATATAAGATGCCAAAGTATCTGGGCAGATTGCTGGTTTTCCATATCAAAACAGTAAAGTGTTTGGTGGGATTGAAAGATGGTGAATATGGATTTGATTGAAAAAAGAAGCAATTTTGTATGGTTTGTACTTAACCTAACTAACTACTACTGGGAATCAGTGGAAATATGTACAGTGGACAGGTGGAGGACTTTCCAAAGTTACAGTAATTAAGGCTAACAAATATTGGGAAGAATATTAAGTGTCAGCTGTCATTAATGCAGACACCACGTTTCAGATGAGACCTGATGTAGCAGCATCTTGTGCTCTGTCAGCTTTTCCTCACCACTTTTAGTGACAAGACAGGACCAAAATGTTCAGATGTAATTTAGAATGTATTAATTCAGATTGAAGAAAAACAACAGATAAAAAAATAGGTCTGGGTTCCTCGTCGGGAAGAAGGACTGTGGAAATGAGTTACTTTAAGATGAGAAAGAGTGGAGAAAAGAGAAAGTGTGTCATGCAGCATCTCTGGTGCTGGGTCTGAGGTTGTTCATGCTGTCCCTTAGTGCTGTATTGTCTCAGTCATCTCCTGGTTTCAACTGACACAGCTAAAATAGCTCTGATCAGAATTAATGTAAGCAAAGTGATGCACTCAGCACCACCAGAATTATGAACAGGTTCCCTCTGGAAAGCTCCTGATCATTTTTAGTAAGAGAACAACTATGACATTCCAGAAGGATGAGGGATGGAGATAAGGGGAAAATAAAACAAGCTAAATAGTAAAAGATTAAGATAAAAACAGAGTTGTATATATTGTCATAACAAAGTCAGCAACAAAAACTGCCACTGGCCTTGTGAGAGACTGAGAAAGAATCACTCTAGTTGGCAGACTAAGCTTTAGATAAATTACAAATCATTTATATTGTAATTATTTAAAAGAGTATTTGAATTCTGGACCTTTGATTTTATAATAACTATTTCACTTAATTGCATAGTCACTGAATGATAATTGCATTTCATATTTATTTCCTTTTCTATTCTGACAACATAAAAGACCAAGTTAGATTCCAATGTGTGGAATGAAGGGACTAAAAGAATGACCAAAGGCACAATAGTCATGTCAGTAACATTTTACTTAAAATTCCTAGTTAGAAAAAGGCTGGACTTCAAACACTTCATGCTGAAAAAACCCACAATTTTGTACCTTAGTTGACTGTCAACCATTGGTAAGACACTTCTTTCTGTTCACAGTGGAATACAGAGCTGTAAGTTGAACTTACTTAAGTAAAGTATTCCACTATTCTGAACAGAAATTAATGTGTGAGACCGGGGGGGGGAAAAACTTCCATGAAGAAATTAAATAAGCTGGAGGTCTCTCCATTGGAATTAATTTGTTAAACTGAGGGTGAAAGGCCTCAGGTGTGTTGAAGAACAGAGACTCACACAGATGTCAGTGCTGTGATTGCAAAGGAGCCTTAGAGATACCTTTGAATTTAATTTCCTATTAATTTCCACAAACTTTTCCTATTTAATGCCTGCTGTCCCTCACCATAATGTTTTTCTAATTTGAGGAATGCAGCTACAGGGTCAATAGAGAAAAAAAAAACACCTTTTTTCTTTCTCCTTGGAAAATTATGTATTTGTTATTAAACCATTATCAAAAAAAAAAATTTGAATTATATTAACCTGTGGTTTTGAATTTACATGAGTTTGGACAGCCAGAGTTACTGCTGCAGTGTTATCCTTCACCTGGTTCATTTTTCAAAGCAACAGCAGCATTTGTTTCTCTTGTGTCTCCCATGTTATTTGTGCAGGAACATCAAATGGCTGAGACTGAAACTCTGAATTCTTGAATGGCACCAGACTAAGACAAATCATAGCAGGTTTCAAATGGAAAACACCTTTAAGGTCATTGCTCTTTCCATTACCTGCAGATTCAGTTTTTTTAATTGGGAGTTACTTGCCTTAGTTTTAGTCAATCAGGTAGTATATTGTTTTCAGGGCTCAGCTACTGTTTAGTTTTTACAGTAGAATTTTGGCTTTTGCCAAGAAAAAGTTCATTCCTATTCCATGCAGTTCTTTCAGAGGAACCATTCCCGTAGAAGAATTTGCTAAAAACAATACTTTGTGTTTGTTTCTTTCTTTTGTTGTTTTGGTTGTAACTTTCTACAGCAATTTTCTACTTTTCAGAGCAGTGGTATTTAATTAAAAAAAAAAATCAGTTTAATTAGCAAGACTAGGGAAGCTTGCAAGATAAATTTTCCCATTTTTGAGAAGTAAAAGATGCCTGTAGTGGCTAGAATTTCAAAAACCACCAAGATGGGAAGAGTTTTTCTGTTCAAGCTGGTTTGTTGGGGTGGGGTTTATTTTGCACTACTGTAATTTGAGTGACATTCTGTGTTAGAGCAGATACCATGTAGGTATTTAAGGCAGCAGTAAATTATGCTACCCAAGTATTTGTAGGTTACCGATATTTAGTGGGTTCCAGTGATATAAATCTCATCTCCCCAAACCAATATAACAGCAGCAATATCCACTATCACTCTTAATGCTTATTATCTCTGTTACAGAGGCTTTGCTCCACATTAACATTATTATTGTTACTGCTAAATATCAGTGATATAGAGGCTTTTTCAAATGCCTGTATGAGAAAAATACCATTGTTGTTGGTCTCCTTAATGAGTTTGGTTGATTAAACTCTAGTAAGGAAAAGATGGTTTGGGGGTTAAGGGATTTCATTCGATTTGAGCCAGCCTTGATTTCAATCTCGCTTTCAACTCAGAGCTGTGTCCATTCTCCTGATTTCTCTGCAGGTTTAGTCAGTCCTGCAATGTGTTTGCACTTGGCTTTGGGAGCCCACCTCAAGTTAATGGGGCTTGAAATGGCACAGAAGGTCCATATGGATGCCCATAATTGGAGACAGGACGTTTATACACCCAGTCATACAGACATGACAAATAGAAATACCCCCCAGTTGTACACCAGCATATTTAAAATGTGCTTAATGACATTACATTTTATTGAGTCAATTAGGTGGGAAATGGCATTTTACACACATTTTAAACCATCCAAACACGTTCCAGAAGTACAGACATGAAAAAAAAATACAACAGTTTAGAAGATGTGTGTTTGGAGTGCAAAAGAGAACAATGTTTCCAGCAAATACAGCTCCTTCCTAAGAGCTGCAATATTGTTCCTGATGGTCATTCTGTAGGCATGAAATGGACATTTAAAGAGATTGGTTTGATAGACCATTTAGTGTTGTGAATTCAAATGAACACTTTTGTGCTTTCATTTTCTCAACAGTACTCCGCAGTTACTGATGAGATATAATATTTTGTATTTCTTTGCTGAACAACCTCTTAAAGGCACATAAATATTGAATTGTTCTGGAGTGGCCTATGACTTAAAAACTAGAACTGAATAAATAAGTATTTTTTCTGTCATCAGTGGTCCCTGTACACCATGGGGTGTTTGTTTCTTTGCACTGTCCCTCTCCTTGGATATTTCCCCACTCTGTAACATCCAAACAACTCAATTGCTTGCTGTTAGTTTTAGATGTGATACTAAAGATAAATGGAGGAGATTTTTTTTTTTGTGCCTAAAGGTTTGGTGATGTTGGGTTTGCTACTTCTTTACTTACAAAGTCCTTTAAAGGGCAATTCATTTTTGGAGCATTACAGACTGCATCTTAAAGCCTTGCTTCATCCATATGTTTAATTTGGATATGTCATTAGTGAGTGCCATGCTTATGAATAGCTCTTCACAAACTTTGAAGCAGGCAGGTTTTGAGGCAGGTTTGAGGCAAACTTTGAGGCAGGTTTTCTCATTTGATTTTCCCTTTTCTCTGGCTTATGAGCATTATTCTTTCCTCACATTTTTTTTTCTATTTTATTCTTACTTAAAATGAATTTCTTCAGATGATTATTTTAGCATTTCAAGCTGGGATTAGCCTATACCTACAGAACTGAATGTGTCTGGACTACTTATTTTCATGTTCTACTTATTTAAAACTGATGGTGAACTAAGCTGTGCTGCTGTGGAAGATGAGCTCTGCCTGCCTGAGCAGTTACCCACTCCTTTAAAAGGTTGGCTCACGGGTACATTTTGATGCATTTCATTTTTCAGCATAAATATGAAAAATCAGGAGACTTGTTCAATGCTGCTACTTCAAACCTGTACTTATTCATTTCATTTGCTGAATATTTTCAAGCATTCAGATAAATCTATCAGATTAGGGCAGAAGAAAATACAGGTCCAGGCTGCAGGCAGCCACCTCTGCAATTGTTTAGTTTTGATGGAACTGGAAAATGAAGGAAGCATTTATTGCATATTGGTTAAATGAATGTAACATTGCTTTGGCAAAGTATCCAACTAAAATTCATATCAATTTTAAAAAAATAATCATCTAGTACATCTTAGTGACTCTACCCTAGAAAATGCCCCCACCCCCAGTAAGATACTTCATACCCCGGTGAACAGGAATTTCATTAGAAGATGCTTTATTTGATAAATGTAGCAGTGCACTGGGCTGGGTGGAACATGCTTCTGAATTTCTAAGCAGAGTTAGAATTTTACTTCATCTGAACAGCTTTTCTCTTGGATGGTGCTTCTTTTCTGCATTCCTTAGGACCAGCTCGTTCCATGGTGAGTGGATGTGGGTACACAACAAGGAAGAGGGGAAGCAGAAACCAGGAGCAGCAGTGAGCAGGGCCCTTGCCAGGAGCCAGAAGAGCACTTTGTGTTACATCAGCCCTGCTTCAGATCTGCCACTACAGTCTTATAATAAATTAGTTAGGAGTGGGAGAGCCACTCTTGGAAATACCATCTGCTGGTGTCAAAGAGGTACCCGGTGAAAATGGCTTCAGCCTGAGCAACTTATTCCCCTGTGCAGGCTGATTAGTTTGGGTTGGCATGTGTTCTCCACCGTCTTGCCAATTCTGGCCACTTGCACAGCACGTGCCAGCATTTTAGTTCTTGGAGTTAAATATTGACATTGATATACGAGAGCCCACTGGAGCTGTGAGTGCAGTCATGAGACACTCATTTCACACACAGCACTAATGCAGACAGTGTTTTTCCTGTCATTAAGAACTTTGAAATCATTTCTCACATAAATGGAAAACAAATTGTATATTATGTCATTAGCTGCAAATTTTCGGGATAAACTCATTTACTGCTGTAAATGAGCTCCTTATAAAAGTTTAAAAGTTCCTTATAAACTTTTCCCCAGGGTGTCGCTGCCCGGTGAGATCACCAGTTTCTCCAGCCACAATCATCATACCTACTGCTCTGGCTGACAACTAACCCCAAAGTTCTCAATTGCAGGAATGAGGACACAGGGTATCCACCTGGGAATAGTTGTTTCAGTCTTTCAAATTCAATGAGATTTGGGGTGAAATATAATTTAAAGGCATATGGTGCAAACACTGTGAAACTTCTGGTGTTGAAAACTACAGGTGACTAATCAACCAGTGATGCACATGAAAATCATTTATATTTCTCTAAGTTCTGCATGAAGGCTAAACTAATAACTGTGTATCTAATTAATGACCTTTTATAGCTGGTAAATCCAGGAAAGAAGTACCTGGGTGTTGATTAGCTGCCTAATCAGAAACACAGTTCTGATCTCTTCTCTCATTTTTGCATTTACCTCTTCAGCGTTACTGGGGTTTCGATGAAGTCCATGATGTAATGCAGGCTTCTAATTATGCAAAATTAATATAATATTTCTGATGAAAGGGTAATTGAAAGAAATGGAGCATGCATGAGCTGAACTCCAAACTCCAGTTGCATTAACTCTCATATTTTAATGGGAATTAAAGGATGAATGCATCGTGGATAAAGCTCATTCCTGTACAGAGGGTCAGCATGAAACTTAAATGCCTTTAATTTTTATGAGGTTTTAACTGCAGTGTAGAAGCACAGTCTGTGTAATGGGGGGTGAGTTTGGTCTCAGGAGAAACACATCTTTCAGCGGCTTTTAATTACTCAATTTAGACCTGTTTCTTTAAAATAAGCAGGGAATTGAATCACTAATATAGAAATATGTTCAGAGAAAGCTAAGGCTGCAGCAGGGAGGCTTGGAGTCCCTGAGACATTCCAAAGCATTTTCTGAGATCAGGAGTAGCTTGTTGGCTGATGGGAAGGGTTCTGCTGGAATATGAGCTCTTGGCAACCTGAACCACAGTGAATGAGGTTACAGGCTACCAGTTGCATTTTTCCTGGGATGGGGCGTTGTGAAATCTTGTCTTAAAGTGCTCTGTGTGGTTTTTTCCTCCATTTTCTTCTCTCATGGGGATCAACCTAAGGAGTAAACCTTGAGTTAGCCCACTGTGAAACAGGCAGGTAGCTGTAGTCCTTAAAAAAATCAGTATTATAAACACTTGGCTTGCACCTTTTCCAAACCAATGACAATTCAGGTCTGTCCTGTGCAGTTTGTGACCAACATCAACAACTCTTTTGACTTTCCAAGCACAGTCAACATCAACAGACTTCAGTGGAAATAAAAACAGGGGTTTATTCCATTTAAGTTTCTAAATTACGAGTCTCCCTTCCCTAAACCATCTACCTAGCCCTCTATTCCTATAGCATTATTATTAATATTAATTATTAGTAGCACTATTAGTACATCAGACCCAGACAAACATGTACCACATTTGTCAGTTTTGTTGACCAGCAAAAGCAAACATCATCTTCCAATGCCAGAGCATGAGTGCCAACAGACACCAGCTGTTTGTAATGTGCTCTGCTTTCTTATCTGAGACCATTAACCAGGCCAGTAATAATTCTGACAGCAAACACAGAGCAATAACCCTGGTTTTTTCACTGTTATCTTGCTGTTTGACTGTTATCTTAAAAGGAACGTGGCTGAACGTATCTGTCAGGTGTTGAAGAGGTAGAGCAGAGAACTGTGAGATAAAATTAGTGGGGATCACATTAAAGACTTCAGTGGGAGAGATTTCTGGAGAAATAAGTCCCATGTAGATGTGCTGGTTTAGTGGTACTTGTGCATCCCCCAGACCCCTTCAGGGAAAGGTGGGGGGTGGCCAGGTGAGAGCAAAGATGCAGCCCTACCTTCATGGCTTGCAGGTCTTCAGCTTTGGGCAAAAAAATTACCTGTTGTAGACACAGAAATCACATCTGAAACAACACATGGTGTTGTAATAATTCTTGAGTGCTGAAAGCAGTTATGGAGACAGAGCTAATAAAAAGAAAATAAAATAATTACTAGGTGTAATTATCATTACTCTGCAGATCTGCCAGGCACAGGCTTACTAGGGCATTAAATTCTTAAAAGAAATTGTTCACCCTGATCAGCAAATTTTATGCTCACAGTGTTCTTTAAGTACTAATATCTTCTATGTGTTGTTGCCATCTGCAAACTTTAAATCATATGTATTATAAAATACATAAGAATAAGTTAAAAAAACTAAAAAAAAATAAAACCCCATTGAAGTAGTGGATAAACACTAGGATTCTTTAGGATAGCTGTTTAGAAACAGAGCTCAAATAAGAAGTAGATGCTAATAATTTGGCTGGGTGTGTGCTTTTCTGGAAATTTCAGTTGGTCCTTCTTTATAGGGAGAATAAAGAAAAAGAAAAGCAAACAAGAAAACTACAATTCCTACAGAGAAAATAACAGACATTGGAAATCCATCTGGGAGAAGAGAGATTTTAAATATGGACCAGAGGCTTATCAGATTTTATAACAGAGCAGTTGTGTTGGTTTCAGCAGATTCAACATTGATTTTTTCTGTACAATCTGTGGTTGTTCTTGATTTCTGCAGATTTTGTGTTAAGGGAGTTACTGGCCAGAATGTTTGGCCAATAACAATTTACATGACTATATCAGACTATTTGTAGGAAAAAAATCAGTAACTGACACTCTCTTATTAAAACCACAGAAACTAAAATTTAAACTAACTTCTCTATAGCACAGAAGCAATTTTTGATCATTTTTATGTGCAATAGAAAGAGCCAAGATAGATTTGAACTTGTGTACTCTTACTTACCAAAGCTGGTTATCTACTGAGGTTTTACAGCCCATAGTTTTGAAGGTTGAATCTGATTTTTAGAGGCAAACCCCACTCCTTCAGCAATCCACCTTTACAAAAGGGTCAATCATCATTAACGAGCAGAGACCTACTGTTCTTCCAGGCAGTGTTTGGAACAAGGTAATTCTTTTAACACAACTTCAGCCGAGGCTGGTGAAAGGGCTGAGCTGAATTCACAGCACTCTTGACCCCCTTTGCCAAGGCCAAGAGTTTTGTAGAGGTGTCAGCAAAAGCCGCTGTTAGGAGACAGCATTTTATGGAGGCTTGCAGGGAGCTCCTCCCATATCACAGGTTTCTTTGAAAATGTGTCAGTGAAAGCTGCCATCGTGGGCTATGAATGGGAGGAAAAACAGGTCATGTAGAGATAATCCAGGGACACGTGTGCAGTAGGGAAGAGGCCATGAAGGAGTCGCAGCTGCAGAGGTTTTGTCAAAGTGGCAGACGAGGAAAATGCTCTGTACAGCAAAAACTGACAGGGTATGAGCACATAGGAGCTTCAATTTGTCAAGGGCTCAGAAAAGATGCTGCAAACCTGCTCACTGAGGAGAGCCTGGGTAGGAGATTTAGCTGTTTGAATGGCTAGAGAAAGCTCTTTGGGACAGTGTGTGAAAAAGAATCCTCTAGATTGACATAAGCTAAATATACAGACCTGGAGAGGAGATTCCATGACAAAAACCTCCTCCCGTTTGCTTCTGTTTCTAGGCTTGAACAAGAGGCAGGATGATAATGTTGTCCTGAGCAATCAAAGGAAGAACTAGAAGGGAGTGCTTTAGGGGAAAAGTTTAAGAGCTGAGTTTTAGCTCTGTAGAGCTGTCAGCTAAACATGCAAAAGGTATCAGGGCTAGAGGCTGACACTTTGGACTAAATGGAAAAGCAGGAAAAGAGAGTAAGATCTCCGGACTGTCAGTACTGATGTGGTTGCTGAGGGGTTAGGAATGGTGTCACAGTGAAAGGGAAGAAGTTAAAGTGGGGGGAAAAAGGGTTTCCCCAAAAAAATGGAAGGGAGAGATGAGACAGAAGGACACGATGGAAAAACGATTAGAGAAATCATAGTAAAATGACAGGAGGAGATAATCACAGGAGCCAAGGGAACATCAGCTTTCCAGGCACTTGATTAAATGGGTGGAAGGGGGATGATAGATCAGGAAGGTGAAGTTGAGAAGCAATTTCAGTAGAAAGAAAGTCTGGCCAGGGACTGCAGAGCTTTGAGGTAAAAGGGTAAGGGATGGGGTGGTGCTTGAAGAGGCAGGTGGGGTAACAGGGAGGATCAAAAAGTGCTTATATTGTGAGAGAGAGAGAAACTGGTCTTCAACACAAAGAACTGGCACAGGAAAGAACAGATTCATAATTAAGGCTGAACTAACTAGTTTTTATACATCATTTACTCAGGAAAGGCAAGGTGTATGAGAAGGGAGTAACATTCATTATGTCTGTCAATATGATGTAAAATATACAAGCTTTTCTTCAGGTCTGCACATAAATCACCAAACACTGCCCTTTATTTACAAGCTGTTGGTGAAGCAGTCACTGGCTGCTTGAATTTTTGTGATACTTATAAATTTTGTGCTGACAGATTCCTCTGGTGAAGTTTCTATGGATTGTACAGAAATTCAGTGCCTCAGCTGCTGTTCATTTATCATCTACAAGTGCCTGTCCTTACCAGGAAGACCTCCAGGGATCTCCTAAGGATTCAGAGTAGCTTTGCCAATCCAATAGTTCTTTTGAGCCAGGTTTAAACAAATGCCCTTTAATGACACTAAGCTCCGTTGAGATCTGGAAATGCTATTTTTCAGGTGGTCTGTGAGATCAGAGTCCCAAATTCTTGCTTTGCACCAACCCAGGAGATCAGGTTGTTTATGAAAATTTAGTCCTAGCTGGAATCCCTAATCCAAATATATCCACACTTTGGCAGTCATGGCCATAAATCTCCTATATGTAAGTCAGGATCCTGATTCTGTGGCCAGACGTTTTCTTTAAGCAGCAGGCTAAAAACCTACATACCAAGCAATTCCAGATTTCAGCTAGTTTGGAAATCTCAGTGAAACTTCTCGCTTCAGTGAGCCCCATCCATCAGTCCCTCCACAGATTTCTTACACTTGCATAATTTGCTTTACTTAACCTTTGTTTTCCAAAGCTGACGTGGTGCTGCAGGGAAAGGCCAGGCAGGTGAGGGCCATCCAGGTGCCTGCTTTGCTGCTCAGCCCATCTGGACAAGCCCCAGCTAGAAAAATTCAATATTGAGGTCAAATCAAATGATAACAAGAAAGAAACAGATAAAGTAAAACAATCAATAATTATATTAAACTCGATTTGTCCCAAAGGACAAACAGATAATTAAAACTTATTGAAGTGCACAAGCAGCACCCAACACTGACCATTACCTTCCTATTTGTGCTGCATGTGTCTGTGCTTGTGACAAAACTATTGATATTGAATCTTTTAAGTGTACAAATGCAAGAGATATTAGAAAAACATTTCCTGGATGAGCCTGGATGTGTCTTTCCCCTGGTTTTATAGGCTGAGTGTGACACCACATGGTGTGGGACAGGTGGGGTTGGCTGTCCTGGCTGTGTCCCCTCCCAAGTCCTTGTGTCCCCCAGGCTGCTCCCTGGTGGAACAGGAAACACCTTGATATTGTGTAAGCACTGCCCAGCAATAAATAAAATACTGCTGTGTTATCAACACTGTTTTGGTCACAAATCCCAAACACAGCTGCTGTGAAGAAAATTAACTCCATCCCAGCCAAAACCACTGCAACCAGTAAGACACTGCAGAGTCAGAAGTTTTGTTTTGTTTGAGAAACAATCCAGTTTAATTATGTGTTTTGCCAACACTGTTCTTACTATTCTTATGTAGTTTTACTGCAAAGCTGAATATTTGTAATTTACTGGTGTCTAAGCAAAATTGCAGGAAAATGATACATTAGCTACAGCTAATGTTACTTTTACTCCTCAACTCTCTTTCCTGAATTTCTTTACTGCGTTGGTATCGTCAGAGTGCCCATCTAAAATAAGTAAGAGAATTCAAGTTGTGCCACTTTCACTTCATTTAAATTAAAAAAAAAATCCACATAAGATTTATACTTCTATAGTAACATTAATATGATATACAAAGTTTCTTATTCCCTGGTTATTCATAAACTATAAGGCACTATAAATGTGTTATTTTTCAAAAGATATTGTCTGTTTGCTCCTTACTTGTCAGTGTACGTGCAAGTGAGGGAGGGACTCACTGGCATTTCCCTGTGCTCTTGCAGTGATCAAGTTGTCAAAGGGGGACAAACAGGTCCTGGCTTGGGATTTGTGCTCACACCTCCTCACTACATCTTCCAGAATTGTGCTACAATGTCTCTGAATGCCCCAGGTGACATTTGGGGTTTTCCTCTTGGAGATTTCTACCTTCACAAATAATTGCTTCTGAACCCAGATAATTTATATTTAATTACTGGCAACGTATGTGCGCTCAATCAGTGATTTAATTGGGAAAAAAAAAAAAAACAAAACAAAAAACCAAACAGTTAAAAGCTCCCGTGATTTTCACAGCAATACTCACCCCCATCTCCCGTCCTTTAGGTCTGTAAGAATTCCTGCCGTTCGAAGCTGTCCTGCCGAGTTGCCACGGCAACGAGAAGAAGGAAACCGTCAGATCTGAAGATTGCAGTTTACAGTTACTGTTCTTCACTACTCGGCCTCAGTTGCTCCAGTTTAATTTGCAACCTCACTCAATCTGTCCGACTGTACCTTGGTGTTCGAGGGCTTCTGCCCCACTTCCCTTTCTCCATGGATTCCTCTTGCCAGACACAAGGTTTACGCCAATTTTCTCTGAATGTTAAAAGACCATGACATCTAAAGCCGACCTTGGGGGAGCAGAAAACAGATTGACTCCATTTTTTTCTATCTGTTGACTTGTTGCTATTCAACTGTTCAGAAAATATTTTGTCTGTGGGTTAGTATTTGTATATGTATGAGTGTATGTATATATATATATTTATATAGAGAGTTCTACCACAGGTTTAGCTTTTATAAAATATTCATCTGGATCAAGGGAGAAAGCAGAATAATACAGCCACAGATGAATTGTACCTGTTCTACCATGGCTAAACCTACTGTATTTGCTGTTTATAGTGTGGCCAGGAGGAGAGACCTCGTTGCCATCCCAACACTGTGTTGACACGAACCAGGCAGGTCCAGGGCTCTGACGTGGCTCTTCTCGTACCTCAGGTTCAGCAAACAAGAAATGCAAGTCCCCTGGGCTTGTTCCTGATCTGAACTGCTTTCCTTCTGCCCCAAATGGAGTTTATGACCCAGGAGGAGCAGCCAGCTGGGAGGGTCACTGCCTACAGTGAGGGCGGCGCTGGGCCTGATTTTAGAGGGGCTAAAGGGGGTAAATCATTTGCTGGGGCTGCTGACAACATTTCAGCCTTTGTCAGCTCTGCACACAGGGGGAGGTGAGCACATACCTGCAGGTGAGCAGCTGATCCAAGCAGCAGAAGCTCAGTGTTTCCCAGAGCACTGGTCTCTCTCTCGGCCCCTGCGCTGCCCCGTCCCCCCCGTGAGCGCCAGGAGGTCACAGATGCCCCATTCTATAAATATCCTTACAAACACACATATATATACTTTTGAATATATATATACATACATACACATGTACACACAGTTTCCAGTTAAGAGTAACAAGAGCATTTCTTTGTGTGTGTAAACTTACCACACTCGTTTGCAGACATGGGAAAAAAAAAGGGTGTTCGTTCTATATGAATATGGATCCTTTTTTTATTCTGTGAGCATGTAAGGTCAGAAAAACCCTTCTAACTGTACGAAGATGATCATCTTGTTAATAAATTGTAAATGATCCATCAAAGCTCACACCAAATTTTTATAAAATTAACACAAAAAAGTATACTAGTGACAGACTGTGGCTTTTATTAGAGCTTGCCAGTAACTAGGGTAAGGTAAGTGTCTTAGAATATTTTAATAAACTTGCTTATTTAAAGTTTAAACAAGAAAGCTTCCTTATGCAATAGAACTTTGCAGCTGCATTCTTTAGTTAGCATTTTTACAGTACTTATGAGTCATTCTGTATGTCATCTTTACTACAGTGAGATTATGAGCATATCTTCCACACCACGTCTATGTTTCAATAGTAAAGATTTTTGGAAGCATTAAAAAGTCCAAACATACATTTGGTTTTCCATAATGCTACACTAGATATTAAATGTGTGTTGGTGGTTAAAATTTGCTGTACAATAGCTTTTCTCTGACTTCCTGTATTGTACCAAATATGAAACAGGTTTTTTCTTTTCTTTCTTTTTTTAATCAAAAGGAGTAATAACAACAGCGACAGAGGAAAAATGAGTTTGTGTTGTGAGCTTTCCTAACGTTGTAGATTTCCTGATAAGATATGAGCTGCCTTCAGACAGGAACTTATTTTTCTCTTTCAGCTTAACTCCTGCAGTTCTGACCAAGTGAAACCTCCCCCTGACCCCGTTTCTCTTGCAGGAGGCTCTCAGTGTCTCAGTTACCAAAGTGGTACTTCAGGGTGAGCGGGAGCTTCTCTTGGTCAAGGACATCAGGAGTGGGCCGTTGGCAGCTGCAGGCATTCCAGCAGGGAAGTGCCTGATCTCAAACACTAACATGGGCAAGCTTCTGGTTCTCTTTCTCTGCCCATGCCTTGTAATAACCATATGCTGCTGCTTTGTCATCAACAATCACACGTCTTTTTAAAAAAAATATATATTATTTTCAAGCAAAATTTTTCAGAAGGGAAAACAAAACTCAACCAATGTATAACACCACTGAATTTCCGACATGTATGTTGCACCCAAAGATTTTCTGCACCCTGTGCTTTGATCTACAAAACCTCTATCTTCAATAAAAGAAATTATAATATCCTCCCCCACAAATACTCTTTTTCTACTTGCTTTCTTCCTCCCTCTATCCAGCAAAACCCTGGAAAGACACCCCTTGACATTGGTGTCCTTTCTATTGAGTACCAGAGAAAGCTGCCCTTCTCTCCTTTAAACCAAGGCTCACAGAGCATTTTTTGGATCATTCCATCCAAAATGAGGAACAAAGGAAAAGCTCTTCTGCCTGGAACTCTGCTGACAATGGGAAGAACTCTTTCTACCACTCTGTGCCCAAGGATAAGAGATCTTTCTTCTTGGATAACTCTGCAACCTTTAGACGTGCAGAGAGGTGGCTGAAACTCTGAACCAAGATGCATCAAAGCCTTCAGTCCCGTTACCCCTTTATCTCTGCACCCACATTAAAGCCTCCCAGCCTTTACCATGTGTCTGGGCTTCACACAGAGCTGATCACTGGACTTACCTGAGCATGCAAAGAGAAGATGAAGCTGCCATGTTAATGTTTCTCCTCCTCTGTACCTGAGAACATGTAACACAAGTCCGTGGCACGTCCTGTAGGGTTACACAAGGAGGAATCGTGTCAGAAGCTGAGATTTCCTCCCTGAAGAAGGTTGTCATCTCTGGCTCAAAAAAAACGATGCCCGTTTCCTGAAACAAAGGAGCAACAATAATTTATTTGTTTGGGTTTTTTCTACAATATAATGAAAAAAATAGAAAATTGACAAAATTGTTTGTATTTTTTTAATAGTTAATTATATTTAACATCTATTCAGCCAAGCTTGCTGTTTTTATAACATACCACTTATTCCTGCATAGCTGTTTTAATCACTACAACATTTATTTCTGTCTGTGTTTGTAGATACACAATGCTGTCTAGAGTTGGAAAGGCAGGGAACTTGATTATCATTTTCTAACATGCACAAAATTTTTGTTTAAAAATCATTTCACTTGAAAAGACTATCTACCGTTGAAGCAAAAATTGGGAATAACCATCAGTGAGAGGAGTTTCTTGGCAAGAGAAAGGCCTCGTATTTGGTGCACTTGCTAATTGAACCCTTTGTACACCTCACGTGTGTGTTTTTACAAGATATCCGTGTGCATTTATTAACGTACATTTTGTTCAGTAACTGTAGAGCTGAAGAGTAAAACAAAGGGAAAACAAGCTGAATTTCCTGCTGGGTATCAAGGAAAATTAGGTAAGAGTGGAACACTGGCTAATGCACCCTCTGAGCCCTGTTCTCATCGTGTTTACACTGCTGTAAATCAAAGAGCAACTCCATTGCTGGAACCGAGACTCAGTTAATCATACTCAGATGAAATTTTTCATCTAAACCTCCCCACATATTGCTTTTACTGGTGGGCTCTGCGCAGTAAAGCTGCAATATTTGTCACAGGGTTGCCGAGTGCTTGCACAGTATCAGAAGTCTGTCTCTTGTGGCATACAGAGAACCCACAGCTCAGATGCCTCGTGTCCTTCACTGACCACTTCAATGTGTCTCTGAGGCACCCGGAATAATTGGGTTTAACCTTTATTTCGAGTGGCTGTGGCCAAATAATTTGTCCTGTTCCCTTGCGTAGTCACTTAAGTTCAGGATCACCGTACTACAAACCTCATCTATTAAATTATGGACTTACAATCAGTTTTTAGGGTCCTTGATTAAATGTCTTATCGCTACAAAAAGACATATATTATACTGACAACTCTTGTCTTTCCTTTTGTAAAGATCTCCTGTTTGGAATACTGAGAAAGCTGCCAATTTTCTTCTCAAATGTTACTAATGCACTCAGCCCCTCGAAACAGCAGAAATCTGTACACAAATAACTTTACAACACATTGTCTAAAGGCCAAGTTATTTTCAGAATGAATTCAATAATGTCTTATTTAATTTTAAAAAAAACCCTCTCACAATATAAATTATATTAAAGTCACATCAGCTTGAGAACACCAAGTCGAAAGCAAAACTCTGATTTTATCTTGCTTTTATTGCATCTCTAGAAATTCAGTTGTTTGAGAGACACTGTCCAATGCTAGCAAAAAGATAAATAAAATAGCAATTATTTTCTTTCAATTAACTCTGTGATCTATAATCTTTAGAATTAATATGCAAAGTACTTTAGTAATTATCATTATAACCATTCTACCTAAAGCAGATATAGCTGATTGTTTCCTGTGTAAAGTACATAACCCACTGACCACACTTCTCTTGCCTCCCCCCGGGATACACAAGCTGGTTTATGCTTGTCCACATGGAATGGATGTACTCATGCACTCTCAGTGGAAAGTTACTAGTTGCACAACTGCTATGTGTGTATATATGTAGATATATAGAGATATACACATATAAATATATATATATAATATATGCAGGTGGAGGGAGACTGATACAGCATGGAGACTTGGAATAAGCAGTTTAATTCCTTCAGTTATGGATGAAAATGTGAGTTAAGGGACAGCATGTGTTACATGTGCTGGACTAATCTGATTTAAAGGAAAGAAAAAAGGCAAAAGAACCCACAAAGTAAAACCCAGACTTATCCCAACTCTCACGTTGTATTTATGTTGCCTTTGGCTGTCCCCTCTTAACATAATTATATCATTTGAAGATATGCATAATTGTTTACTGACTCATTTTTAGTTGTCTGTTTATCAGCAGGTCACCAGTAGTGGAAAGGGAAGGGGTTAGAGGCAGAATTCTGCATTCCTGTGCTTTCAGTGGAACAACTGTTTGGGAAAGCTTCGTCCAGCCTTGAACATTACACTCCTCCTCTGCATCAGCAAATG